GAAATTAAATCCAGGATTGCCATGGCAAAAGCTGCATTTAGCAAGAAGAAGAATCTTTTTACCAGCAAATTGCACTTAAATTTGAGGAAGAAACTAGTGAAATGCTACATTTGGAGCATAGATCTGTATGGGGCTGAAACTTGGACACTTAGGGCAGTAGATAAGAAACAGCTGGAAAGCTTTGAAATGTGGTGTTGGAGAAGGATGGAGAAGAACAGTTGGACCGATTATGTGAGAAATGAAGAAGTGTTATTTAGAGTCAGTGAGCAGAGGAATATCCTACATGAAATAAGAAAACGGAAGGCTAATTGGATTGGTCATATCTTATGCGGTAACCGCCTTCTAAAAGAAGTTATTGAAGGAAAGATAGAGGGGCGGATAGAAGTGACCAGAAGACGTAAGAAGATGCTGGATGACCTTGGGGACAGAAGAGGATATTTTCATTTGAAGGAGAAAGCTCTTGATCGCATCAAGTGGAGGAACTGTTTTGGAAGAGACTGTGGACCTGTCGTCTTGACAGATTACTGATGAATGAATGAATGAATGAATGTGTATCTGAAGCTGAGACAGGTGATAGGAATGGTGAACAAAGACCAGTGAAGCTGAATAAAGGCTAGCAGTAATCTCAGCATATTTCATACAACATATCTTCTAACATTTATCTACTTCCATATGTTTGAGGTGATATTAAGCAATTTATGTATAAAATTACTTTTTGTGTGCAGATATGTTTCCTAGGGCAGGGCCATCTTGTATTGAGAATCATCTTTAATTTCGGTAAACAAAGGACTACACTTTAGTGCACTGTGGAAGAGAGGCTGATGTTATAAATTATTACAGTGAAAAAATTGGTCTAATAGAGAAAAGTCTCATCTCAATTCTTGAATGTTTTCAAAATTCTCATTTGAAACTGAAGAAAGTCATTCTTACATGTGCCCAGAGTTTGCTATGGTGACAAATCAAAAACATTCACTGATGATGGCATAAAATGTGAAAATGTCTGTTCAAAAGTAAAAATAATTGTGATAAGTGAGGAACAATTTTATTGTTGTAAAATACTGATTAGATTATAAATATGCTAATAAACATAAAGAATTATAAAGGTAGTGAGAACTCCAGAGGTTAAGCTTGCGAACGTTCAGAAATTCTGATATCTGTATTAAGAGACAGTATGTACAAAACAGGTTAACTAACTCCATGAAGATGAGCCCTTCTTCAGTTGTTAGTTGCTCAGCCACTCAAAAATTTCCCAACATTTTATGGAACCCAAAGGTTTATTATATTCACAAGAGCCCTCTACTGGTCCCTATCCTTGGCCAGATCAATCCAGGCTGTATCACCCTATTCCATCTCTCTAAGATCAATTTTAATATTGTCTCCCCACCTACATCTCAGTCTTCCTAGTGGTCTCTTTCCTTCCGGCTTTCCCATTAAAATCCTATATGCATTCCACTCCTCCCCCATAAATGCTGCATGCCATGCCCATCTCATCCTCTGTGATTTGATCAGTGTAATTATACTTGGAGAAGAGAACAAGTTATGAAGATAAAACAGGTTATAAGATCTTAAAATTCTGATTAAAATTTATATGGTAGAATTTAAAGTGACGCAGGTGCTGTCAGTTCAACTTATGTTTGATATTTTACATTACATAATATAAGATAGAGAATAAGATGTAGTACTTACTGAATATATGGTCGAATTTCATCCAGAGTCCATTTATCTCGTGTTTGGAAGAGAATTCTAATTCTTTCACTAATATCTTCAGGTAAGTCCGTTTCAGGGAAGTACCAGATAACTTCAGGTTTAGAATTCTTGTCCATTAAAGCTATCCCTTCTAGATATTTTTCTGTGGTCTGCATCCCTGTAGAAGGAATGTAACCACTGTAACAGATTACAAAAGACAGGCAAGGCATATGTTAGGTTTGGGGTTCTCACAGCAGTGACTATGAAGGGTTCTACCTTCTGGAATATAATGCTGTGTAATCCAGTGAGTCAGCCAACAATTCAGAGGAACATAATGCTGCCAACTTCAGGTCTGAAGAGTAAGCCAAGCAAGAAACCAGCATGAAGCTGTACTTGCTCTGCACACAACTACTGCACAATATAACAATAGCAATAACATTTCAGCTATTGTTTCTGCTATATATTTTCAAACTACTGACTGAAATTTAGCTTTGATATTTTTTTTTGTTCTGTGATCTTGTAGTCTGTGACATCATAACTGCCCCCTTTGTTTTGCATCCAAGTTACCAGTTATGGCACACCTTGCAAATTAACTACTCAGAGTGAGCTCCTTATATGAAATAGTCAAGTACACTGTGTCAGTAACAAATCACTGTCTAGAAATCAGGTCATGCAGAAGTGCAACTGCAGAGTCTAACAGTATTACGAGAACTGTACACTTTCTCTTTCTCATGATGAATGCATCCACTTCCCTGGCCTAAGAGAGCTATGAAACACCACACCATATGGGCTACATGATGCATATAGCTGATTTCAAGCAAAACATTACAAACTACTATTGAAAGGAGAAAACTATTTCTGATGGTCTGACAATATACCACCAACCAGATCAGAACACTCACCACTGTTGTCTATATTGGGTTGTCAAATATTTGACTCAGGTGTGAAATTATTGTAAATATTTTATATGGCACAGGACTGTAACAATTTTTTTTACTGCTATGAGCAAGTATGGCATGTACTGTCTTTGCTCGCTTGGAAACCGGGATCGTGGGTTCGAATCCCACTCAGGGCATGGATGTTTAGTTCATGTGTGTACGTTTTTTTGTGTTTGTGTACAGGTAGAGGCCTTGCGATGAGCTGATCACCCGCGCAAGGAGTCCTACCGAATGTGTAAGATCTAGAAAAGCTGAAGTGAATGGAGAAGTTCATGGAGGTAGGCCTAGGCCCACTGGGGCTGTAGTGCCAAGGTGGGGGAAAAAAAAGCAAGTATGAGGATTTACACATCAATTGGAACCTGTCTCTCAGCATTATGGTATTGTGACTTGTTTACAGAACCTGTTTCCAAGAATAATATGACATAACACTGCAAACAGAGTACCATTAATTATAACTCAAGTCACAAGGGTACTGTACTTGTATATAAGAGAATACACTGCATGAAGGTGAGGTTCATATTGTAACATGCTGCGCAACGGAGAACCCCTCCCTACCCAGCAGCAACGTGGCAACTCAGGCCACAGGCGCGTGGCGGTAACGTAGCGCTCCCTCCCACCCCTCCGCGGTGACGTAACGCACAACGCTACGTACCCGTAATCAACTTCCTACTGTGAGGTGGAACGCAACAGGCACCACTGCGGCTATATAAGGAAACTGCACAGCCGCTACCAGTTAGTTGTAGCCTGGCCATCGCCGAAGACAGTTCCGAGTTGTACTGTGACAGCCGCCGAGTTATAAAGTAACAGTCGCCGAGTCGAGTCGTAAAGCGAGCAGTCAGTGTGTTATCGAGTTCTCAGTTCGCAAGTTACGAGCTACAGACGCGGGTGCGATAACCAGTGATAACCAGTTAGATCTGGAGTGTGTAATTCAGGGAGACTTGTATAGCTCCCGCGTTATTAGTACGTGAATACAAGTGAAGATCATGTTAAGAGACTTTGTTGTAGGGTTTGTAAAGTGTGGAAACCCGTAATATTGTGATAATTAATTGTAGCCGTTATTTGTAGATTGTTAAATAAACCAATTAACCATCTCTACGGCGTCTTCTGTAACGAAACACGTTACAATATTAAGGCAGGAAAGCTGTATGAAATGCAAACTACTCCTTACATACCCAAATTTTTTATTGCATAGGATAAAGAGTAACCAATCTCACACCTCAAAACCTGTCCCCCTTCTAGCAAAAAAAGGATGGAGGAAAAATGTGTTTTCCTTCTGCAAGAGTATGGATTCTTCTTTCCAATAATATGCTTCAACTTTATTAATTTTCTAATGCTTATATAAAAATATATAACCTACCAACCTTCAGGCACACTTTGCTGCCATGATGAAAGGAAATCTTTCAGATTAAACTTCCCTGCTTGACGCAACAAAACTTCAGCTAGGAAACGACAAATTCTTTCCTCTAGCAATCTATACAGTGTTTCACCTGCAATAAAAAAATTGAAAACACTGTTACATCCCTTCATTTCTGTAACTAACAAATATACGATAAGACTCATTCATTTCTTTTTGTAGGTTATTTAATTGTGCTTTCAGTGTTGAGACTACAGAGCATCAGATGGAGGATGACAGATGAATCAAGAATTAGGAAGGGTTTGGAAGGAAGCAGTCATGGCCTGTTCAAGGGGCTATCCTGGCACCTGCATCGAGGAACTGGCATAAACCACAAAAAAACCTCAGTAGGGACAGCCAGTGTCCCAGCTAAAATTTAAACTGAGCACCTTCCACATGCAATCTAGAGCACTGTCTCAAGACTGATTTGGTTGACTGACATATCATATTGCCGCAAAACATGGTTCATACAAAGGAGTAATGAGAGAAGATAAACATCAGGTGGAATTATTTCTTTCCAGTCATAAAGGAAATGAATTTACAGAATTATAAATGCAATAAATAACAGTTTTAGATAACACTACAGAAAAATTACTAGAACAAAAAATTATGTTCTGTAATATCTGTAAAAAACAAAGAAGAGCACCATTATTACTAACGTACAATAAAAGTTGACAAAACATGCTCAAGTACAATAATATTAATGCATATACAGGGTGACCGAAAAGTTGCGCACATCAAACGAAAAGTTGTTATAAATTGTATTGCAGTTAATATAATTATATCTCGTACCACTAGATGGTACTGTAAGAGTACCAACAATGAGCAGAAACGCCATCAGTTGTGTATCGGTCATATGATGTCTGCAGTATAGCTTTTGTTTATTGCATGACAGACATGTTGTTCTCCCAAGAATGAGTTTTCATTGTAGCAACAATGGAAATGAAGAGTTTGATCGAGTTTTCTTCACTGATGAAGCATGGTTTCACCTTAGTGGCTACGTGAACAGTCAAAACAATAGGATTTGATTATCTGAAAATTCACATGTTACATGAAAAGCCCTTGCACTGTCAGAAAATTGGAGTGTGGTGTGCTGTATCACGTCGTTGACTAGTGGGCCCAATTTTCTTTGAAATAACAGTGAACAGTCCAGTGTACCAAGACACTATTACGGTTTATTGTGCTTCTTGAAGTTGATGAACATGAGTGTTGGTTGCAGCAAGATGGTGCCACATGTCACACATCTAAGGAAACCATGCAGTTCTTGGGCGAGTTTTTGGTGACCATCTCATTTCAAAAGGATTGTGGCCCCCGCGTTCACCCAATTTGTCACCCGCAGATATTTTCCTTTGGGGTACCTCAAACGAATTGTCTATAAAAACAATCCGCATACACTGGATGACCTCAAGGGGAACATTATGACGGCGATTAACAGCATCAGTTTACAGGTGCTCCACAAAGTGGCCTCAAACACGGTAAAAAGCGCTTGTGCATGCATTGCTGAACAGGGAAGCCATTTCGAGCATATGTTGTAAAGACATGATTTGATTTTGCATTTCTAAGATCTAAGGTTATATAACATTAATAGTAAGTGCTGTATGTCTTGTTGTTCGTGCATTAAACCAGTGCGACTTCTCAATCTCCCTGTATGAGGAACAGAGGTAAAGGGTTGCTTTCTTTTAAATATCATCTACAACAGGAATGGTAGGGGGGTAGCAGAAAACATGGATATGGAGAGAAGAGGCAAACTGCATAAAAAGGGCACTGGGAAGCCAGGTCATTAGACCCAGTTAAAAAAAATCTTCTTGCATCATATCTAAAAACCTGAAAATAAGAACAAAGAACATTTTTAACTGAAGGAGAAATTTGGTACAGGAAAAATATGTTTCAGAACAAAATGTTGGGGAGAATATTTGGACCTAAGAAATAGGAAGTAATAGGAAGATGGATTGGATTGCACAATGGGAAACCTCTTTGTACTCCCTGCCAAATATTGATCAAATTAAGGAGGATAAGATGGGCAAGATACACATCAAGTGTAGGAACTGAGAAACATACACAAAATTTTGGTCAGGAAATCTGAGAGGATGAGACCACTTGGAAAACCTTGGAATGTATAGAACAATGGACCTTAATGGAACAAGGCATGAAACCAGCAGAGTGCATTCAGCTGGTTCAGGATAAGATTTTGAGGCAGGCTCCTGCGAACATGGTAATGAAAGAATATTCAATGAAACTGTTGTATATTATTTCTCTGCTATATCATAAGTTCTTCAAGTCTGCTGTTGTATATTATTTCTCTCCCGTGTCAGAGGACTCTGCAAAATTATTTTATTTTTCAAATTTCCACAAAAATATGGACATTCAGCAAATACTCTTAAATCAAAATTCACAATTTGCCAAAGTGCCATGAGACACTAGCTGAGAGGGCCTTAGTAAAATTAATTCTGATTCTTCTCAAAACTGTACTGACCATCCTTGTCAACTGTCACTGTCTCCTCTGCATACCAAGAAAAGCACTGCTCCAGAACATCCATTGGTACTAAGGCAGCCAGAGACTGCAATGTTTCTGTCTTATTGATCTTGTCAATAGGCCAGGAATTCTCATCCACAAAGTTAAGGATGTATGACAGTACACGAAAATGGTATTCATGCTCCAGGAATCGCCATGCACCTAATAACAAGAAAGTCAATGTGTACAGTGTTATTTAACTATTGTTTTTTGAATTGGAGAACAATACAGTCCACAATATAACAAGATCTTTTACAAAATGATACCAGTGACTTACCAACAATTATGAAACAGTTACACAGGAACACAATCTACAGTGTGAGCACATCATATTTCTCAGAAATACATATCAATTAGCATTGTATATAGGATTTGTGGTTATGAAGAGTTCTACCTTCTAGGATATAACACTGTATAGTCTGTTGAAAGTCAACCAACATTTCAGAGGAACAGGTCACTTCCATCTTCAGGGTTGAAGAATAAACCAAGCAAGAGGCAACATGTTCCCCCCAAAACGTTGGCTGACTTTCAATGGACTACCCAGCATTATATCCCAAAGACAGAACTCTTCAATTAGGACTGTAGTGCACTGGGATAATGAAACTGATCACATTGTGGAGCATTCAACACCAGAACCCAAATTCAAGCACACACATATACATGCAAATGCATGTGTGTGTAAGAGAGAGAGAGAGAGAAAGCCTTTACGAAAACAATCTGCATTCATAACATAAAGTTTGAGGGATGAATTATGAAAATTAAGTATTCTTAGAACATATAGCTCCTATTGCATTCACTTGCATAATTTCTCCTTGGAATAATTATTAGGATGAAATAATATAATTTATTTTTTCACTGCACAATTCATCGCTGGGTTCAGAAATAAAAAACTGACACTTCTTTCCTGAATCATTAATGACAAATGTTATTAGTTCCAAGACCTAACTAACAGCCATGTCAAACTAATATGTGGTAGGGTAAAAAGTTTGTGATGTTTGTCAACAGGTTCAAAAAATTTCATACATGAAGTATGTCTATTCTACTATGACAAACCTTGGACATAAGTGTAACAGTGTCAGTGTTTCCTTGAAATTTCTGAAATGGAATGTTATAAACATAAAACTGGACAAATTTCCATTGTCAGGACTCGAAAAATTGTATACAAATTCATGAAAAATGTAAGTTTCAGTAATTGTAAGATCTGTTAAAATTTAGCATTGTTCTTATGGGTATTTGACTGGGACAATATAAAACTTGCATAAAATCAGGAAAACTGTAAAATCTGAGAGCACAAAATCAAAGTTTTATTGTATTCATATCTCTGAAAACTTGGAAACCTGCTGCTTGACCACAACACTGCATCAGATCATTGGTTTCCTTTGACACAAACAAATGGCATCACCATGCTTCCATAGTTTCCCAGGCTCCAGATCTAGCCACTGCCGCATATTTGGTCATGTTAAATATTATCACAGTATAAAATTCAGAGGCATTCGTTCACTTTACATTATCTGTCCATGCAAATGTCTTAACCATATATCCAGTGACCATCTATTTCTTTATTTTTCCTCATCAGTTCAGATATGATCTTCTGTATATTTTCATGGAGGGAGGGACGTATGGACATCCAGTCCCTGTTGTCAGTGGTTGTATTACTTTCAATATGCCTTCCATTTTAACTCATTAAACATCATCCTCTTGTGGCCAGAAGGATGGTAATGCGCCTTCAGGATGTATGTATTTGACACGGCAGCCATTTCTGTCATCACAGCACCAATCCACCACTTTCCACCAAATGTGCATGCACCACAAGAGTACAGGGCAATGTCACTGTGTGCAACAAGGTAGGTCCCAGCTACTGTCTTACAACATGTGCCAAATATATACTTGCACCAGAAACCCCCAAAATTATCTGTTGTAATTTAAGGGTAGGCAGCAGTGGTTTGCCCTAGTGCTTGGAATCTGCATACAATTTCTGCAATGCTTCTTTAGCTCTTTTCTGGTTTCTGCGATGTCTGACTCATAAAAATATTTTATTCAATGAATGTTTTCTTATGTCAATTCATGGACATCTTTCAGTGTCAGCATTTCCTTATCATAAGAATACAGAAGACTTAATTTGCCTGTTGCACCACCTACAGCTCCATCACTGAAGCACAATATCTTTTTCATATTGCTATCCAGTGTTTTCATATATGGAATCATAACCTTTTGAAAAGCATAAAATGTGCTTATTACATGGGTCATGCAAGCATTAATGATACACAAGGGGACAGGCTTTGGCTTAAGTGGAGACTCGGGTTGATGTACACATACTACGATGGGATTATGAAGTATTACTTCATCATTGGACCAATGACACTGTAGCACACAGTAGTACTGTTGCTATGCAATTATCACAATAACGAACACATGTTGCTCAATAACAGCCAGTAAACATGTCAATGATACCCAAGCTATTGCTAGGCAACTGCCCATGTCAACAGAGGGATTGTTGGAGGCGGTGTTTTCTGTTGCGTTTACCCTTAGGCTATATAGCGAGGACCCCAGGCCGCCCGAAGGCAGTTCAGTCGAGTGAAGTGAAGTGGTTGTTTGGTGAGAGTGACCAGTTGAGCGTTGGCAGCTGAGTCGAGCTCTATAAAGGATGATAAGAGATGGCACTATAGTTCAGTTGATAATTGAAGAGTTCAGTCGTGGGATATTCACTACACAATAAAGACATGAGCACAAGAAGATGAAGAATCTCCACTGTTCAAAGCCGTTGCTAGGAAACAGCTGTTGAGGAGACAGCAGGTTGGAAAAAGGCTTGGTGGGTACTCAGGTGATTTGTAAAGTGTGGAGATTAGTGATAGTGCTGTAATTACTTGTAGTTATGGTAGTGTGTACAAGTGTGTCAATAAAACAAATTCACGAATCTACACCTCGTCTACTATGTTAGGTGGGTCTCGTCACCCCAGCATGGCATGTCCTCAGGTTGCAGATGGAGACAGCTTCAAGATATGGAGAAAGCTCTGAATATACTGAATAAGCAGTTGCGAACAGTGGACAAGAGGTGGTCCTTCAGCTGGGGGAGTTGGGCATGGGGCTAACAACTCATCATAAAGAAAAGCTTGTTATGAAAGATAACAAGAAGCCTTGGACCTGAACGGATTCCTTGGATAAGCAACCTAAGCGAAAGAAAATGGAAACTTTGCCACATCCAAAAATCTTACTGTCAAAAGTATAATGTTCCCACATCGTAACATTCATAAATTTACTTGGACATCTCCTGACAGGAACACACACAACCAAATTGACCACATTTTAATAGACAGGAGATGGCATTCAAGTATACTTGATGTCCGATCATTCAAGGCAGCAGATTGTGATACAGACCACTACCTGGTGGTGACAAAATTTAGGGAGAGTCTGGCTGTGAGTAAACAAACAACGTACAGAGTTCATATGGAGAGGTTCCATCTGAATAAATTAAACGGGGTAGAGGGTAAAGAGCAGTATCATGTTGAAATCTAAAATATGTTCACAGCTTTGGAAATCTAGACACTAAGGTGAATATTAGCAGAGCTGGTGAACTATTAGAGAGAACATCAAAATTTTAGCCGAAGAGAGTCTAGGTTATTATGAACTGAAGAAGAATAAGCCATGATTAGATGAAGGATGCTCGAAATTATCAGACCAAAGGAAACAACCCAATCTGCAGTGGTTACAGGATCCAAGCAAAATAAATGGGAATATGTGAACAATACAGGATGTGAAGCTAGCAGGCATTTCAAGAATAAGAAGAGGGAATATTTGAAATCCATGATTTATTTCACCGTCTTCTAGTGCATACACTTATCTACTTCACTCCTCTCACTCGCACTACATGTTTCGGCACAAAAGTGCCATCCTCAGGTGCTTATTTGCTTAACGTTAAACTAGTTCATTACATGCCTTGTCGTCTTCATATTAAAATAATTAAAATATATATTTATCATATATATTGATAAATGTTAAAAATTAAATATTAAAATATAAAATTGTTCAGGATTTTTCCTATGTCGTATTCACTACTCAAGTCACGGATAATTATTTTAATATGAAGACGACAAGGCATGTAATGAACTAGTTTAACGTTAAGCAAATAAGCACCTGAGGATGGCACTTTTGTGCCGAAACATGTAGTGCGAGTGAGAGGAGTGAAGTAGATAAGTGTATGCACTAGAAGACGGTGAAATAAATCATTGACTTGAATCAGTGCAACAGGACGCTAAAATATAACAAAAAGAATATTTGAAAGCCAAATTATGAGCTTGCAATAAACAGTAAGAACAAGAACATTGGAGACCTGTATAAAGGAAGAAATGACTTTAAGTAACTTAGTGAAGGATGAGAATGGTGATCTGCTTGCAGATTCCCTCAACAATTTGAATAGGCAGAAGAACTATTTCTCTCAGTTATTGGGTGTACATAGGTTCAGTGATGTTAAGCATACAGAAAAACGTACTGCCAGGCCATTAGTACCTGATTGCCAAGTTGATAAGTTATAAATTGCCAGGTAGTGACCAAATTTCTGGCAGAACTGATTCAAGCAGGAGGTGAAACATTATGTTCTAACATCCATAAGCCAATTAATTCTATTTGGAATGAGGAAAAATTGCCTGATCAGTGGAAGGATTCTATTACTGTACCAGTTCACAAGAAGGGTGATAAAACTGACTGTAGTAACTATCAGGAGATATCACTGCTGTCAACTTCATACAAAATTTTATCCAATATTCTTCTCTCAAGGTTAAGGCCATATATAGATGAAATTCTTTGGGATCATCAGTGTGTGTTTCGATGTAACAGATCAACTACAGTCCATATCTTTTGCATTCATCAGATACTGGGGGAAAAAATGGGAGTACCATGAAACAGTACATCAGCTATAGACAGACTTCAAGAAAGCCTATGATTCAGTTAGGAGGGAAGAACTGTACAATATTCTCATGGAATTTGGAGTAGCCTGCAACTAGTGAGACTGATTAAAATGTGTTTAAACGAAACACATAGTAAAGTCCATACAAGTAAACATTTGTCTGATAGTTTTCCTATCCAGAATGGTCTAAGACAAGGAGATGCTTTATGGCTTCCTTTTCAAATTTGCTTTAGAATATGCCATTAGGAAGGTCCAAGAAAAC